AGAATCAAATCTGATAACGGTTGAACGATGTAAGTACGATACAGAATCCACGATAATTAAAGGTAAAAATAAGGAAATGAAAGAGACCAAGATGAAATGTTACGAACCAACTAACGGGCAGGGCTGCCAGCATTAAGAAATACCACCTGAGTGTATATAGATATTATTTTATCCTTGTTCAACATTCAGTGAACAATAGGAATGAAATAATATCAAAATATATCTTTAATTTCCGAATCCGCTCCTACGCTTCGAAGAACGATCGATCTCTTACTAAATAAATCGATCTCTTACTAAATAAATCGATCTCTTACTAAATAAATCGATCTACCTTAAAATCAGATACTGGCGAATCGATTAAAAGATCGGATAGAGATCGCACATCCCTAGACTGCACACTAGTGCGCACTAGTGCATCCAATCGAATTCGCCATTAGTGAAGTCTCCTTGAGGTGTCTTTTCATGCTGATGCTCTCGACGCTCGTTTTCAGCGAGTTTTAAAATAAATCACAAGATCAAAATTGACGCTTGATATTCGCCAATTTCTTTCACGTGACTTATTTTGACGCCGAAAATGAGCGTCGAGCATCGGCATGAAAAGTCACCTTTAGTCGTCCTTCCTGGTTCCGAGTTACGCATGAAGCGCATGATGTATCGTTTTATCCTTCTTTATTATTTGGTGAATAACAAGAATAAATGATGCATCATGCACTTCATGCGTAACTCGGAACGCACTCCATGTTATCCCTTCCACTATGGGACTACCTGCAGTGCCTGCCAAAACTAAGGATGATGTCCCATGCAGCGGATCGTGCGTAAGCGGATTCGTCAATCACAGAATCATTCTCTTAGATCTGTTTGCAAATTTCGCAAGCATATCTAAGAGAATGATTCTGTGATTGACGATACGCGAATCCGCTTACTCACGATCCACTGCATGGGACATCACCCTTATTGCTGGTTTACACTGCATCCGATTTGCGTCGTACGACGTTCTGCAACCAATCAGAAAACAGGATTCCGATGGATTTTGCTTCGTATCATCGAAATCCTGTTTTCCGATTGGTTGCAGAGCGTCGTACGACGCAAATCGGATGCAGTGTGAATCCAGCCTAAGGCACTATAAACATGAGTATTCGCATATCCGCCATTTTTACTCCTTTCCCCACTCCGCCTCTGAGCTGAGAAGGTTATTGTTACGGTTGTTGTAGGTTATAGCTTCTAAGCTGTTGGAAACCTCGTAGGAATGAAAAAAGCTACAAAATCAA